TGAATTATTATTTCTTAGTGAATAACACAAAGCCTAAAAGTAACGAGATTTCAGGAAAGCTAATTCAAAAAACGCACATTCATTTCTAAATATTAGTTATAATTGGACACCTAATATGTTGTGCATTTTTATGTATGGAAAAGCTGCTGAAATTATTAAGAATTATAAAGTACTTTTTTACACACTGAGGTCTGGCAGATCTCAACCAAATGCAATTTCTCGTGCAAATGGTACTTTTCGGCCATTTGAAATTTAAACAGAGCATCTATTTGCCCTAATGTATTATGAATTACATAATAACTTTGAATTAGAAATAGGATTGATACTGCAAGCTGAAGTTAATTTTTTTGTAAGAAGCTTAAATATTAAAAGATAAAAATTATTTAAATGAAAAAAGAAATCTTAAATTAGTACAAAATTATTTCTTTTTAATATTCTTACAGCATTACGCTGTAATTTAAAAGTAATGCTGTAAGAATTTATGTATATATGTAATTTCTTACATGCATTACGGATCTGGTAGAGCCCAGTGTAAGTAGATTGTTTCACGAAAATTAGAATGAGTCTAGACTGTTAATATTGTGATTTCAATACAAAACCTAATTAAATCTCTGATTATTAAGATTCGATGTAAACATGTGAATATATTGTGAATATGTTGAAATAGCCCAGAAATCTTACTCTTACTTATATTATAATTTATCAGAGCGATATTGAGGACTCGATCATTTTTACAATCTTGTAAATTATTATATAACACAAATCCATAATGTTCTTATTTATCTTTTATATTTAAAGCATAAAATATTTGTGGTTTTTAGCTGATCTTTTTTCGCTTTATTAACGCAACAAAAGGATTTTTATAAAAATAATAACCCATATAAATACATTGTTGAAAAAGTCTCAAGTAAATACACTGTTGCGTTGAAGAAAAAACTATATAGCCGTTGATGATTTTTTCTTGATGATTTACTATTTTTTAAAAAATTTCAACGCGCTCTGCATACTTTTTTTTAATAAGATTTTTGTGGTTTTAGTCGCGAAATTGTAAAAAAAACTAATTTGTATTTTTTTTTTTTATAAGAAAAGAATATTAATTCTTTAACGTTAAATGGTTGAATTAATTTTTGAAATATGAACCTGGTTTTTCATCCAACAAAATTACGATTTTGTTCTTCCTAAAAATGAATTTCTCGCAAAAAATTTTAAAAACAATAAAACAGTCTGTTGAACTTGAAATCAATGAAAAGTTTTTGTTAAACTGAAAAAATGTGAAGGTGTTATGAATTTTTGCCAGAATTAAAATTATTTATTAATATTTTCAAATATATTGAATGTTTTTAATGAGAAGTTCTGAGAATATGTTCAGTAATTTCTATTTGCCTTCACAAATTAAAATTATTTAGACCATTTGAACTTTTCATTTGCTTTTGTGATGTCTTCTTATTTGAGCATCATCTTATCCAAATACATCCCGTATCCTGTATTCAGGATCTTTAGAATCTTAGCAGGTAGGTAACAATTTTGTGTTTTCAAAATATACCAGTGAATCTATAATTTCGGAATAGAGGCAGCAGTATAAATTCGGAATAATTAATCAACCTTCATATCAAATTTTTATCAATAAAATATTTTATGCAATTACGAAATTTGAAAATTTATAATATTTCAAAACAAACACCCTATACGCTAACAATGCTTTGATTTTTATTTACATATGCATTAAAAGGTAAACTCTGAACACAATAATACTAATTTGTTAATAAAATAATCATATAGTATAATAGTTGTCAGAGAATAACCATTTATATTGATCTTGACTTGCACCTCAATTCAAATGCTTGTCATTTTAAAAAAAAAAATGTTTTTTTTTTTTTTTTTTTATGAATTTGAATGACAACCTTATTTTAAATTTTAAAAAATTGAATATCATTTTATGAGCTTAAAATAATTTTTAATGTCAACAAAGTTAATTAGTCACATAATGATATCTTACTGATTGATTGGATTATATATATGTAATATTGTAAATGAATCGTGAGATTATTTAAAATAACAGAAAAGCAAAAACAGCACATACTTATTTAATTTTAAAAGTACTAAGTATGAACGGAAGTATGGAGTATGGCTATTGTCACGGATCATAAACTTTATTTTTTTTTTTTGTTATTAATGCATAAAATATTAATAAATGGTTATAAGAGTAAATGTATTTTGGGCGGATTACTAAATGAATCCTTTCGACATGGTTAATTTAAGTGCATTTAATTATAATGTTAATGACATACCAAAAGCAATTTTTAGAATAAAACTGAACTTGAATTTTTTCAATATTTTATATGGCAGGAATAGTTATTTAATTGCTCTTATATATTCATATTAATATTTACAGTTGGATTTCACTAGAAAACAAATTTTAGGATTATAAAGTTGAAATTCACAATTTCATTGAAAAAAATTTTAATATGTCAATTATTAAAAAAAAAATTGAATTGTTTTACCCGCATATACAACATGTTGTAGTAGAAAAACATAATATTATTAAAATTAATCGTTTGCATATGCAATTATATATGGAGAAAATTCTACAAGCACACATTGAATATGAGAGTAGAAATAAACTTAATATAATTTTTATTGTATTTCACGCATTTCCTTACATTTCCGAAACTATAACTAGTTTTTCTTATATATTTATTATTATAAACATTTAAAATTTAAATTGGTTTCCAGTCTGACGAATCTGCAATATATATATATATATATAGACAAAATGTAGACTGATATTTAAACACCACTTTTTATTTCAAACTAAATAAAAAAAATCCGATGTAAATTTATTCAAAAAAAAAAAATTAAATGTTTTGTTCAATTTGTTCAAAAACTGGGACAGAAATATTTCAAAAAGGGTAAAATTTCGCCCTGTAATACACACCTTGATTTTGTGGATTAAAAGAGAAAATCTTACCCTGTTTCGTCATATTAAAATCGAACAAATTTTATATACGCGGGCCTAATTTCACTTAGACCAAATTATAAGGTTTTATTTGTTTAGTTACTTCAAAAATTAAATTAAAAAATAACATTTTTTAAAAGTTCAATTACTACTGTTCTGATACCGTCACTGCATTACCAATATTGGCAAAACCAGCTGCGCCGTTATTAATTCTCTTACATGACAAAAAGTATTACTGTTGCATTACGCACTTTTAAATTCAATTAAATAATATTAATAATAACTGTCTTTAAAATATTGATAATAACGTTCTCTTAGTCATGTGAATAACTGATAGTCGGTTAAATGATAAAAATTAGTATTCAATTTTCTCTCTTTTAACACAATTTTGTTTGCGTTTCTGAAAAAGAAATTTCATAGTAATTCAAAAAATTATCCGAAGGTCAAAATGATAAGCACTACAAATTAATGTTAAATATTTTTACAAATCTAAATTTAGATTCCATATTAAAATAGACGTTATTTTTGGCACTTGACAAACTGTATACAATTTAAGCGATCGCCGATTATGAATTTAGATAATAAAAAAAAGTATTTCTTAAGATTTGGTGTTGATCAGGCATGGCTCGAAATTGTTCGATTCCCTACTCGGTTTACAAAAAGTATACCCTCCGTTTCAAGCAATGAATAGTATGCAATAAACGCAATATGCAATGCGCACAATAATTATGCCCCTTTTTCGGGCGCTTATTGCATATGATTACTTGCATATATAGTAGATCCGGCACTGGTGTTGATTCTTATTAAGTATATACTTTAAGTTTTCATTATACTAGATCAAATGTAGAACTGGATATTATATATTTACATTAAAAGGGCTATTTAAAGAAGCCAATATGTTGAGAATATTCGATGACATTCGAAGTAGAATTGATAGTAAAGGAAATAACAAATAAATTATTCGAGTAAATTAGTTTTAAATAATTAAATTTTTAATTTAAATAATTTCATATTTGCATTTTTTATTTATTTTATTTTAATTGTATTTTTTACTTTTAAATTAATTCTTTTTTGTTTTAATCAATATTAATTACACATGGCCTTAAAATAATATTACACTATATTATATAGGTAGCAAATTTTTTGCATATATAAGTGCTCTTAATCAATTACGATTGAATGTATTTTGAATTCTGAATTTAATATTTTCATAGATTTCAGAAACTAATTCTTCAATAATAATCTGGTTTTCTAAAGTATCTATACAATATATTAAGTTTTAATTAAATTGAATTCATATTAAGCTAATTAATTTACATAATGCTATATGATTTAATTTTTAGTCTAATTTTATAGTAAACAATAAACTTTTAAAAATTTTCAAACTGGGATTTTTATTTTTTTTTCATATTATAATATTTTTATTTTAAATACATTGAAAATTTTTATTTTTCATTAATAATTAAATTTTTATATTCTCTTAAAAATTCTACATTATTTAATATCACATACGAGATCGCTCCATCATTTTCTGATTTTCCTTAAATATACATATACATAATTACATTATATTTAATATATGTAGGTAAGTCTAAAGCACAAAATAAAATATGAGGTTAAAAATAGATTACACATAGCTACGATAGCTCTAATATTATTATTTACATATGTAAACGTATGTGTAAGTATTTGAATATACACATTGGAGCAAATTAAGTTTTGATGATTAAGAACCAGACATAAACTTTAGCAATTGAAAAAAACAAAAACAAAGAATAGATTTTCTTAATTTTTAAAATATTTTTGCACAGAACATTTTTTTTTTAATTAATTTTGATTTTTGTGGAAAATAGCCAAAACATAATTATTAAGATTTTAAAAATTGCAAAATAGATTCATTTTTTTGAATATTTTGAATATTTGAACTTTGATTCTTATATATCTAGCAATTTGACTTTAGAATCCGATAAGAAATTGTTTAAAGTTAAAACATAAATATATTTAAACTACATAAATATCATTTGCGTACTTGGTCTGAGCACGTTTAAGTCAAAAGAGAAACTATTTGCAACAATCAAAATTTAATTATAAAACAATTTATATTTTAATTTTCTAATTTGAAAATTATCAAGTTTTCTCTTTTTAAATTTTCAAACATAAAATTTTCGTGAATGCACAAAATTCGAGATATGACAACATCATTTTCGAGGTAAGAAATTTAGTAAAAGTTAAGTAAATTTTTATCATGTTTTAGCTATTAAAGTATCACACACACAAATTAATTTTTTTTTATTATTTTCAACACTATTTTAATCATATTATTAATTTTAGGCACCAACTGGTGCTCTTCTATCCGGTTGTTGTTGTTGTGGTTGCTGCTGGCCTTGTTGATTATGGTGATGGTGATGATGATGATGTGAATGATGATGATGATTTAAATCAATTGAATTTACAGGAGGTCTAGAGGAAATAATTGGTTGTGGTATTACAACCGTTGTTGATGTTGAAGGTGATGTTTGTGGTTGTTGTTGTTGTTGCTGTTGATGATGTAAATGATTTAATTGTTGCTGTTGTTGTTCTTGATCATCCTTCATCAAAACATCATTAGATACAGGTTGCTTCTTTAAAAAATTTAAATCATTAAAATTTTCTATATACATATTTTGTGTTGAGAATGCTTTCGCACTTTCAATATCTTTCCTGAGCTCCTCCAAATCACGTTTCTGTTTTGCACGCCTGTTCTGGAACCATGTTATAACCTTGTAAATAGAATAAAATAAAAAAATTTTTAAAATTATTTTGAATAGCTATTGAAGTTTTTTTTTAAATAATAAATGAATTAGATAAGTAATTGAAAATTTTAAGAAATTGAATTTTTTGTAATACCTGTGCATTTGATAGTCCCAAGGCTGCTGCAATTTCATCTCGGTCAGCCGGTGATAAATATTTTTGATAAAGAAAACGTTTTTCTAAACCAAATATTTGGTGATTTGTAAATGCGGTACGTGATTTTCTTTTCTTTTTCGGCTGTGGTCTTGTAGCAAACAAATCCAAATGAGATTGGTCTAAAATAAAAATTTTGGAAAATACAATATTAAATTTGATTTGAAAAAAATTCAGTATTAATATCATTATTAATACTTTGTTAACATGTGAATCAATAATTTTACTAATACAACATCATAGTTGTGAAATAAATAAGTAATGTGCTTATTACACTAATAATTTAACCTAATGGAAATTTCTTCATGGAACTGCAGAACAGATGGATGACGTAATCAAAGGAACGAGTTAAAGGCAGAAAAATTCATTAAAAAATTTTTTTCCTCGAACTGGACTCGAACCAGCGACCTACTAAATTCAGTATTTTAATTACTGTTAGAACATATTCATTACAATGCTCGTTTCGGAGCAACTACAATTCCACAATTCTGCAACTAATTCACGCAGGAAAGAAAAATAGGATGGAAGATAATTAAAATAACCTATAGTGTTTTCACCTTAGTGCAAGATACCCTTGATAATAACTAACAATTACCCGATAAAAAAAATTCATTAATTTGTACATTATTTACTTGATCAAAAGTTTCGTATTAGAAAGTGCTATTTCTAATTTTGAAACCTCGTTCTTGTGTTTTAAATATAATCTGCATTGATTTATTTTTCACATTTGCTTATGATCAACATAGATTTAAGTAACATATCGCGATTTGGTTAAATACCAATTTTCGGTGGTATTTATCCCGCCGAAACAATAAAACAAATATAACTTACAAAATTCACCCTATGAAAATTGTAAAATTTTAAACGAAAAGCAACGATATTTGACACATATATGATTTTAGCTTACCAAAGATTATCAGTCAATTTACACCAAACGAACAAGAAGTGTAGAAAAATATTACTAAATTGGTTGCAACACATTTTCTAAAGGCAACTTAAATAAAATTAATTTGAAAATTTGAAATTAATCGAAAGTTTTTTGCTTAATTATACGAGTAGTAACTTCGATTAAGTAATTAAGTTTTATTCTTTATTTCTTATATAGCTAAAAAATAAATGTACCTATTGCAAACTTGTAGTGAAATCTGTGCTCATATTCAATATAAAAAATAAAACAAACAACATTATTTATCAAAATTATTAACACGTTCACGGGCTTTAATTCTGTAACGTTCAAATTTCTGTTGTTTCAATGGAACGTAAATGTTATAATATTAGCTTATATACTTACAAAATAGAATTTCTAAATGTGACTGAGAAAATGAAATTTTATTTTTTGAATAGAAATACTTTGCTTTTATATTCAAATCCCAATATATATTTTTCAATATTATGAAGAAAACTGACTCACAGGGACGTGGATACAATTAGTCTCTGTTTCCCAACTCAGTCGGTTTTTAAGTGTTCATCAACGTGCTAAATTTAATATATTATATATTTTATAAGTCTTTATTGCAGTTTTTAAAGTAATTAAATGAATTCTGTACATACTAAACATCATAGGCTCTAAGCGACAATTTAGAAATTCTACACAAAACAAAAATAAGTTAAATTCAGTGTTTATGTATTTATGCATTTATGTAATTTTTTTTGGTATTTAAATGTCATATTTGCTATTGAATAACAAAAGAAATTTTTACCTATATTGGAAACTATTTTCTTATTTGTCGGCATTGGCGCTTAGTACACAATAACAATATTTTATAAAAAAATAAAAAAAGATTGCGCTTCAATTAAGATTTAAGATTTTTCATGTGTAAAAGTTGCCCTACTTTACCATAATCATAAAATGATTATTTTCTATTTTAAATATAGTTCCAATATAATTTAAAAATTTTAGTGAAATATCAGAAGTACAGTGAAGAAATTAAAAACAATGAAATTTTAATATTTCCTTATGTTGCATTTATGTAGGTTTATGTGTGTACAAAATTGTCACCTTTAGAAAAGAAAAACAAACAGAAAGAGATGGAAAAATTAAATACTAAAACATACCTTACTTACATTTATACAATTTATTATTTTATAAAAATTTATAACAAATAAAAAGTAATACTGAGTCAAGTCTCTTACAAATAAATTTTCATTGCAGTACAAAAACAATTTAAAATTTTTAAAAACAAAAAAGGAATAAAAATGAACAAAAAGAAAAGGAAAGAGAAATCAAAATTTCACTATATAATTTTCTCTCTCTTTCTTACTCTTCAATTTTTTTTTCGTTTATTTGTTTATAGTGTTATTCTTATTTTTAACTTTTCTTTCCATTTTGCTTTTCATACCCTTTAATGGTCTTTTACATTCATTCAAATTACAATATGATTTTCTTCACTTTAGTATCTCAGAAACAAAGAAGTTGTGATAAAGTTATTACTTTGAAGGTGCAATTCAGCACAGCATTCATTTGTAATAATTTACAAAAAAAAAGATGTTTGTGTTTTAAGATAACCGACTATCTTACAATGTATGTGCCAATGTAAATCTAAAACGTATATGTTATTGCATACATATTATTCTGTGTACCTATGTACCTATAGATAAAAAAAATTCCTTAACCAAATCTGCATCATATTAATTTATTTGATTTGGTAGATGGAGGAACATTTTTTTTGTTCATTTTATATACTTATACACAAATATTTGTGTTTGTATATGTATATGTACCTACTTTTTTCCTGTATTTTTAACATTCTTCTAATTAAGTTTTACCGACACCTTGAAGGTGTAATCAAAAATAAAAAACAACAAAAAACTATACTAACTATATAAAGAATATAATATAGCCATAATTGAGAAAGCATTATACATGGGACCACCATCAGTTTCAAATATTCAACTGTAAAGTAATTATTATTTAAGGAATCGAAAGGGTATAGCCACGTACAAAAAATACATTATGTACAAATATACGTGTGTGTATATATATTCTTATATAATATTAAAAGTTGAGAAAAGGTTTATTTTTAAGGTACTTTTATTATTACCTTATATGTTTACTTTTTTAAAATTTAGCCTTTAGATAAATATTAAATTTTATATTTGGAACTTGTAGAATGTGCACATAAGTAAAAAGGAAAATTTTTGTACTTTAATAATACAAAGAAAATTGATTGTTATTTTTTCTTTTTTTTTGGTATGTTTATGATAATTTAAATTTATTATTCAAAAATATTTTTTTATAAAACATATACTTTTTTGGATACCCAATTTAAATATACGTAAACATGTAATTGGTATGACATCTTTAAATGAAAGTATGCATACAATGCATGTATCTTTAAGTACTGGAATACTATATAAATTATGTAAATGTATTTGTGTTTATGTATATTTAATGAATAAGGTGAAATTAATTGTAGGGTTTTGAATTAACTTTATTGATTTTTGTATACACACCATATCATTAAAAATATAAATGTATAAAAACAAAAGAGGAGGCAAAAAATATTGTAATAAAATGTTATGGTATAAATGAAATGATCAGAATTGAATATTTAATTATTTCGGCTAACCTTAATCGATTTAAAATTATTGTTGATTTTTTTTCAACCAAAAAAAAAAAACAAAAGAAAAATTTATTTGAAAAATGGTTGAAACTACCAAAGAACGTTTAATATTAATTTTAATATTATAAATTCATAATAAGTACAATATCATTAATTATCATAAATATTATTGATTTAGGATTTAATAATTATTTTGGGTTGGTCTTAAAAATCATTTTTAATATAGGCTTTAACTAACACAAAGTTAATAAATTTATTTAATAACTATAAGTACTACTTAAACACCAAAAATCTTCGTATAATAAGTAAATGTTTATACATATTTTATTTGTATAATTTATAACCTCTATATTCAGAACCTGTTTTTGGCAATCCTAATAATTAATCAATTTGAAAATGCTTTAAAAAATGATTTTTTCCTTAAATTGTATTTTATTGCATATTAATTACAGTTTTTTTAAAAATATAAACACACTATACCACGTTATCTGACAATATTGCAATAATTAATTTATTGAACAATACTCACAATATTATACAATATTTTTAATATATTGATAACTTTAATCATCAATAAACTAAAAGATTACTATGTAATTATGAAGATTTATATGACTTTTAAAATTGAATAAAATGATGACACAAGCTTACATTGAATGTACATAGTAAAATTTAATTGAAAATCAATTTAAATAATTAAATAAGTTTTTATTCGAATAATTATTCGAAAGGTGGTCCGGTGTATGAAGTCGATTAAAATTAATGGTGTTTAATTATTTAGTTGAAATTTTTATGTGACTCTCATTTAGGAAGCTTAAGTAATTATAATAAATTTGGGTTAATACAAAAATATTTTTTTTTATTTTCATTGATAATAATTGCCGATAATTTGTTTTCTAAATGACAATCAAAAACTTTATAAAACAATTATACAAATAAGAAAATAATTATAAATAATAATGGCAAAACAAAAAATACTATATTGAGTAAAAGTGTCGACGATAAGTGGACGTGTATCCTTATCAAACATTTGCCAAATGGTTTTCCATTTTTAAAGTTCATTAAAATAAGCAGATTTAATGAGGAATTTCAAAGTAGCTTTTCAAAATTTAAATTTATAAATAATTTAGATTCATAAGTAAAATGTAGAATATTACTTCATATTAACAAAGCTCGAAAAATCAATATTTTTTTCTAAAAAAAAAATACTTCAAACATTACTTTAAATAATGCAATTTTATTAACACAGAATTTATATCCAATGAATCTGAACTGAACTACTGAGACATTAATAGAGAATTACACAAATTGTAAAAAAATCTACGGTTGTCAAAGTTAATCTGTAAATCATGAGCACACAAATATGAGTATAATAAATCACTTATAATTAGATAATAACAAAACAAATTCTGAATATTTAAGAACGGATTCGTACTAAAAAGTAAAAACTAATAAAAAGGTACATTATTAAGGTACATTAAATTATCGGTACTCTAGAAGCAGTAAAATATTTATATAATCCACGACACATTTTCTAAACATAATTCTAAATTCTAACTAAAAATAAAACAGTACCATTTTTAAGTAATTCATTTGTTTATTAATTTGATTTCAAGAGCCCTATTAAATTTGAATAATTTACTGGATAAAAGCTTTAATCGCAAAATTCATGAAAAATGAAATTCGAATTACCAACGGGAAAAAAACAATCATATCTCTTCTAGTGACAGTATTTACACAATGTATAAAGTAATGGTAACAAAGAAAAAATATAATTGAATCACATTTTTTTAGAGAAAGCAATAATTTATATAAAAACTCGTTGCTCAATAATATTTGTAAAATTTAAGTATATTTTTTATAATAAAAGTGAAACATACCATCTGATTTAAAATCCTTGTTTGTCATATGAAATAAAGCATCTAGAGGTGTTTCACTTGATTTATTATTATTATCCTGCTGACCATTTGAAATAGATGAATTTTTCAATTTATCATCTAAACTTGATTCATTACTACGACTTTCAGATGATCCATATGATGATGTTGTAACACCACTGCTACCGCTACCACGACCCGAATGATTCTGTGATGTTAATGATGACGACGAAGATGAAGCTGCTGTCGTTGAATAATGTCCATTACTATGTAAATTTGGTTCTGAGCCTACTGATAATCTTGCATTAATATCTGGTGAAGAACAATCACTACCAGTTGATTTAGAACGTTCTGAACCACTTTCTGATCTTATTGTATCAATATTCATTCGTTGACGCAATAATTCTGCTTGTGCATTTAAATAATCTTGTAAATGTCTTTGATAATCTAAAGCTAATTGTTGTTCATAATGTAATAGTGCCGGCGGTAAAAATGGTATTGCTGTTATAGTTGGATTTCTAATTGGATTCCATGGATAAGCAAAAGCGGCGGCAGCAGCTGCAGCTGGTGGAAAATTTAAAAGATTTGTTGGTCCTAATGATGGTTGCGTTAACTGTGATGATTCTTGTCGATTTCCTTGATTTAAAATATTTGCTTTTACATTTTTGTTGGGTGTATTGCCTAAAATATCAGCAATCGAAAATCCTTTTACACCTTCCGTTGTACTAGTTGATGATGATTTTGATAGTGATGAATTGGAAGCGGATTGATTTTGATTATTGTGAGTTGGGGAAGTTGATGGTGGCGTTATAGATCTTGACTGCTGATTAATTAATGATAAATCATTATTAGTTTTATTTAGTTTCTGTTTATTCTGCGTGTACGTGTAACTATCTGCTATTATTGTTGGTGATCTTTCTGATGAATGCCTTGGTGTATGATAATGAATTGGTGGAGGACTTGGTGATCCAACTGATATATCCGAGCCGGCCGGACTTGGTGGTGATATATTTTCGAAATGCATTTTAAGTTTTTAATTTATTTTTATGTTATTGATTTCTTTTAATCTTTTTTCTAAATCACAATATTCTTTTCTATATGTTTTCCTTTGTTTTTTTTCTATTTTCTCAATTTATTTCACTTATTTACTCTATACAACTCATTGCAACTAGATATTTTTTTTTATATTTTTTGTTTAATGTGCCCTTGCATAACAATTCAATATTTTACATTTTGTTATTTATTTCACTAAAAGCCAAAATAACAGTTGGCATTAGTTGTTATCCAAATCTATTATTCAATCATTTATAATTTTATATAATTTTTTCTTTTACTTTAATTAATTAATTATCAAGCTTGTTAATTAAATGTTTTAATATTCCTTATCTCCTAAAACACTTGCATCAATTCAAATTAAATTAAAAAAAAATTTCTGCTTTTTTTATTTATATTATTTATTAATTTCACACACGGAATATTTATTTTCGTTATTTTTCATACAGAGAATTTCGACTTGCTTATTCAACAGTTCAAATAAAACTGATTTATTTTTCACAGCATTCCTATAAACTGGTGTGTATTGTAAATACGATAAAAACATAGCCATACTTGATTGAATATATTTTTCAAACCAGTTACTCAACTCAACATTCAACATTTTTTAAAAATCTCATTTTATTAATTTTTCGATTGGTGTTGTTGTTTTATTCTTACATTTCTTTAATATCTCTTTTCTTGCATTATGTGTACACAGTACATGTATATGTATACAGAATAGTTTTTTAAGCTCCTCCTTTTATAGAATTTGCATAAAACAGAAAAAATAAAAAAACAGAAGCAACAATAACAACCAATACGCTGGGCTCATAATTAACACAATGGTGGTTCACTTCAATCAATTAAGTCCCATTTAGAAAAGCTGTTTATGAGAAGAGAGTGGAAGTAGAAAAAAATGTATGATGAAAAAAATAATAAGCAAATACGAAAGAGGAAGGCAAAGCAAAAAATAAAATACTGAAAACAACATCAGGAACGGTTTAAGTAGGATATTGAGTGTAAATAATGTCGGCATCCTTTAATATTTGATTTTTTGCGTATATCTGATTTTCGTATGAATTAAAAATCGTTAGCTTATGTTTTATGCTTTTTCGTTTTTTCTTTTGTTAATTTTAAACACATACTTTAAGTTCTTTGAAGTATGCGCTCTTGTATACCTACTCTTTTATTCATTTGCTTAAGTGGTAAATCATTGCAAGCAAGCTACACAATGTACTCTGTTGGTGTATTGTGAGTACATGAATATTATACAATGTAGAATGCAAGAAATTTGAGTAAAAATAATTTTCATTTACAGCTTGTTTACAGTTTTTTTTGTTTTGTATGTGTTAGTAAAATTTTATTTTTAAAAGAGTATGGTATGGTAAGTAGATACTAAATAGAGATATGTTTACATAATTGAAATTGGAAAATTTTTGAGAGAGTTTTTATGTTTACATATTTTTTTCTTTTTTGCTAGAAACAAAACAACAAGAACAGAATTTTTTAGAAGAAATTTACTTCCCGGAGAAGAGCAAATACATAAAAATAAAGCAGGTGAGAACTGAGAGAGATAAATACAATAATAAGATTTGTTAAGTATATTCTATTTAAGAATTGGAATTGGAATTGTTTTGTATGATATCAAATTGAAAATGAACTTATTTAATTTGTTTGACAATGGAAATTTGGTTAAATTTAAGTTGGAAGTAGTATAAATGGCTTTTTTTCTAATAATTACATATGTACAAGTCGTGATGTTAAGAAAATTTGAACTATGGAAAATTTGTTCTCAAAATGAATACATAAATATCATAGTGAGTAAGTAATAAAAGAATAATACTTATGGTTGTGTTAGAGGAAATGTATGATTGTGTTTTCTTTAAATGTGTGAAAATTTGTAATTTAAAAATGGCTTATTTCTTGTTGTAAATTAAAAATAGGAATATGCGCAATCGTTACACCCTATATGTACATCTAAACATTTGGGGTTAGGTACGTTTGTAGGTTTATAGATATGCATATATTTTCGTCTATAAGCATATTATGTAAAGCATTTATTACTTTTTAACCCATCATTATTATTATAAAAATATAACATTATAACAATAACAGTAATTTGAGTTTAACAAAAGAAAATTTTTATTTTAATTAATAATTAAGAAAAGATATACCATACGTATACATATATATATATATATTTCTTGTTATTTCCAGGCATTTTATTTTTTGACTTAAATTAAGAAATTATAAAGGTTAATTTGAATAATAAAAGAAGAATTCTAGTTTCTTTGAGTTACATATATACATATGTGAGTTCATGCAAGTATGAATTTTGTATTATACAATTAAATATCTCTGTATTTATTTTTAAGTAGTTTTGTAATTAATGTTAAAATACCTACATATTCTTGTTAATTTTAATGATATTACAAATAAAATTACTGTGAATGAAGGCGATATATGTACAGATAGCTATATGTTATACATATAACACAAATTATTTCTGGTACAAGTATATATGTATATATGTGTAAAATTTAAGTTACATATAAAGTGTAAGTATAATTATATTAAAGTATTAATTAAAGTTTTCAGCTTGAGTTTATTTTAAGAAACCTTAAAACTCTGATAATATATGTAGCTATATTATATTTTCTTCTCCTTTTTTAATAATAAGAATGGCAAGGAAAATTATAATTTTATTTTTAATAAAAATAAAAGGGCATAGCAAAAATAAAATATGGTATTAAATATGGCCACTGTATTGATAATTACATTCAAATTAAGTGAATAACATGTAGGTATATACACACAATTTCTGTAAAGTAGATATATGATAAGAGGGGAACAGCAATTTCAGTTTTTTTTTTTTGCCTTTTGATTATAGTTGAAAATTTTACCCTTTTATTTTTAAATAAGTGTGGACGTGTGTGTACTTAAATATAACGTCGACAATATATAAATTAATTGCTCTAATTATAATTTAGCAGGCAGTTTCTTGACTCTTGAAATATTATTAATAAAAAAGTGTTGAAGAAAAAATTGAGTATGCTGTTTTAATTATCTAGTTGAAATTTAAGTATTATACACTATTGTTATCTATACGTAGCGAAATTAGCATAGTGTTGATATATAAACTGATTAATGTCATAATTTTGTTCTCATAATTTAAAAATGTAATTTTTTCTATACAATTCCTTTTATAAGAGCTAAACCCAAAACAATAAGAATATGTATACAAGTGTATTTATTAAAAAAGAAAATTATGATTAAAAGACGAAGTGAAAATCTAAGTAAGATCCTTGAGGTCTGAGTTAAAGCATCAACAATTTAATTTTTGTTAAAAATTTTTCATCTTAAAATTAGATACGTATGCAATATTATATACGTTGATTTTCTAGTTTACACATAATTTGTAATTAACCAAGTATTGTTGATTTTTGTATTATATAAAAATTTTTAAACAACATAAAATAAATTTATATATTAAGGCTATTATAACAGTTCTATGCCTGGTTTAATTTTATTCGGTAATTTATCTTCTAATTGTGTATTTATTTTTGCAAAATTGAAAGTAGTTTTTATCATTTTTGTAAATTTTTTGTATTCTATCTTGAAGTGACTTAGCAAAACTAATGTTGGTACCATGTCCCACACCAAGCTATGTTGTTTATCTAATAACTTTGTGTTGAGTTTATGCAACGACTACAGCTTAATTATTCAACATTTAATTACGTTATTGCTGAAATTATGATTGTTATTATGAACTCAAAAGGTGATGACCATTTCGTTTTTTCGAAATTTACTGGTACTAAAAAATTAATTATTTCAGAGTATATAAAACTAAATGTATGTAGAATTTTGGAAATAATATCGCAAAACTACTAATGAAAAGTTGGCTCAATTAAATTTTTTTGTTATAGTTTGGGCAGACAGTCAAACAAGTAGACTTAGAATTTAACGCATAGACAAAATTGCATCATTATTTTTCAACGTTCGTATAAATGTTTAATTATGAAATTTAAGTCGTTTTCAATAAACAATAATGTTCAATCATTTCTGAAAACTCTTGTTTCGTACTACTAAATAAAAATATTCAAATTCTTAATGAATATTAATGTTCTTACAATTATCATCCCACAATTTGAATTTTTCAATCCATTTTATGTACAACATTACAAGGAATAAAAGTCGATTCAACAGTTTGTATGACAAACATTAAGTATGATAGCACCAACAAAATGTTTAGAACTTTACAATTTTCATGTTTGTTGTGTATTTTATTTACATTTAAGACTACAAAACAGAGAACGAAAAATTAAAACCAAAGTTTAAAGAGAAAAAAGTTATAAAGTTCCCGAAAATGTTTTGAAGGAAAAGTTTTTCCCCTTAATCATTGTGAAATTGTGAAACGAATGTGATGTTTCAAAATGCAGTAAAAGACACATTTATTTCAAATAGAAATGATTTAAAAATTTTTTATCAAATTAATTGTAATTATGAGTCTGATGGATTCAAATTTACAAAGCTCCTTAAACTTCTCAGAATAATAATATCTTAAAAATGCTTCTTATATATCTTAGAACAATATTCAATATTTCTCAGAGACTGTTGAAAATTTCCAGAAAAATTAAATGAAAATTATTTTTTTTTGGCATGATAAATCCCTAGACCGGAAATATACCCTTGATTCAAAATACTTTAGAACTAGAGATAAAATAGTGCAAAGAATTTACAATAAGCAATTTAGATACTAAATTTTTACGAGAATTGAATCATATTTATATTTATTATGATATTTTAAAATATTAAAGCTATTCAGTTAATAATTTCTTATAAGCACGGCAAAAATATAAAAATTGTTAAAAAATATATTATGTCATTAGGAAATAAGATAACAGTCGTAAAATATATTTTGTCATCATCCAAAATCCAATTATTAAGTACTATTATTAATTGTTATTGTTTATTATTAAAAAATATTAAAAATGGTCAAATTAAAGTTATAAATAATTAAATGAAATAATCAAAACGAATTGTCATAATTAAAAAATTTGAATTACACAACTATAAACGTACAGAGCTATTTTTCATTACTCTATTTTGCTTAACGTTGATTTTAAGCTATGCTAATTTTATTAATTAATCATCAGTGTCTAATTAATTGTTTACTAAGTTTTTACAATAAAATTATAAAAATTAACTGATTTTTGACATTCATTTTACTA